ACAGCATAAATCCATCAACAATGGTACTGTTCCAACACTATGACTACCTTCCCCCCAAAATAGTTATGTTATTTAACCATATTTCCTCCTTCACAGTAAGCACATGGGTCTTCTTCTAGTTCTTCTAAAACCCCTCTCATTTAGGCTGACTCAGAACTGCACTGAATTTCAAATCTTTTTTCCTGGATCAACAAGAGTTGAATGTCTTTACTAGCATCTAACACCAACATGAAATCTGTGTGTTCATGTGAACAATATCTTGCACCTGCAGTAATTTCACTGATGGCTTCTCATGTGTCCTTTGAGGATTTGCCTGAGGCCAAAGAGACATTAAAATGTGGCCAAAACAACCTCTCTGTATACAGCTTATTTCCAGATTGGCTTCTGGCATCCTCTACTTAACCAGACTGCTCCCTTGCTTTAAAACACTGTTTGCTTCTGTGGGACTGCACAGGGAGGAAATTAGTGCTCAGGCAGGACCTGGCTAGAAAGCTCTGCATTTAGAAAAGTATACAAACAGAATGGACGTTTGCTAAAATCTACTTTGTGCTAGGTGCAGATCGGCACGCTTTGACCAACAGCATTCTAAAAATGCAGCTATTTTGTACCAGTTTTCCCCTTTCTCCCCCATAGTTTTCCCCTTTCTCCCCCATATTTTTCTTTGTGCAGAGTCCAAATTTCCATATGAGGAGGCAGATAAATCTTCAAATTAATTAACTGAGGCTTCTGCTGCCCACCGACCAATTTCTCAGTATGCTTTCCTGTTGCCTGTCACCAGGCATTTTTGCCTTATTATATTAATGCCACAGTATTTTCAAAAGGCTGTAGTTGTTGGAAACTGCACTTTGAGTGTGCTGCCATGAAGCCTACAAACATGTAAGGTTTCCTTCCAGCAGATCCTGCAAAGTGAGTGTAGGGTTTTTATTAAAGGACTGTAAAACCCCACAGGTCTTGCATTTAATGTGTTCATTTTTCCATATCCCTTAGCCCTTTGAAAGCCTCTGAGTCAACATGTCTACCACCAGAATGAGCCTGAGTGGGAACATACATAACCTTCTGAGGGAGGAATGAAAACCAAAGTGTAACTGACATGCTCTTCTGACACAGCAGCATACCCTGACCCTGAAGCTGTAATAGTTTTCATCCATAGTAACCATGCAGGCTGCTGAGGTCCTAAGGGTACTGCACTGCACAGCTAAATAGAGACATCCCAGGAAGAGGAAGCAGCAGCATATTTCATGCATGCGCACTAATTTCACAACAGATGGCACAGGGACAATGCTGGCTAACGAAGAGAAAGGAAAACATTGCCATTTTGGAAAGATACAGAACTGGTGACTACGCCTGTCACCAAAGACAACCTTGGGTTAAAACCTCTCTGGGGTAGGAAGAGTGGAAAATTATATTTTTCTTACATTTTTGTAAACGTATCTGCCGTCATAGTAGGTGCAGAGATCTGCTGAGCTCTTTAGTTCACACTCACAGATTATACTGTTACGGATATTTTTTCCCCAGTCTGAAGGTCCATTCAGCAAACCACAGCACTGGTTCTGCAAGGAGGAAATAGAGACATGAGGAAAAAAATGGTTATTTGCAGTTCAAGGACAGTAGGAGAGGGAGCTGAGAGCAATAATGAAGGAGAAATTTCCTTTCATCTTCCCCATGTGAAACTTGTCCTAAATTGGTATGTCTCAAACACGCTTTACATTTCTATACCAGTTATAAGAAGGTAAGTGTTCAAGTTTGAAAAAGAAGAAAGAAAGAAAAAAGACCAGATTTTCAGTATAGAGTGCTCAAAAGCATTAATATACTATAAAGCTAGTAATTGCCAATGCTTGGATGGAACTGGAACATGGAACAAAGCTGGGTATAGTATTTTTTGAGAATCAAACCTTCTTTCTACAGGTTATGCTTGCAGAAGGTAAGTAACAGCTCCAATAGCATCCACATCCTGAAAAGCCAGGCTAAAAATGCAAAATTCAGGCACATAAAACTCTGAAATCTAGAAAAATAACTACCTTGAATGATGGTTAGCCCTTTAAATTAGGAATGGACTGAGGAGGTCTGGGCTCCATTTGGGATTTGTGAAACCTAAACCAGGTGCAGTTTCACTTCATGTTCCACTTTATTCAAGCCACTAAAGCTCAGGGGTGCAGACTTGAGTTTGAAGTCCCCCCTCTTTTAAAAAGCAGCTGGAAATGTTCACATAATTTTGTATAAAAGCAAAAGCCATGGGACATAATAAAGCAATCCTGGTCTATTTAAAAATTAATACAGTAATTATGGGATTTTTCATTTTGCTCACCCTTCAATCCTCTCTCCAGGGAGCTGCTTATTATATCAGAAAAAATAAACTGGCTCAGAAGCAGAGGACAGGGCTGGAGGTGGAATGGGGAAGGAGAAGTGAAAATAATATAAGCCACTCAAATATTGTTTCTTGCTTCTTTTCTTTCATATCAGCAGCCTTCAAAAATACAGGCCTCTTTAACCCATCAAAGGCATCACCCATTAGGACTAAAATAAAAGAATAACAGCAGGCACTCTCAGTGTATAGACACAGGTACTAGTGGGAAGGGCAGGGGTCTACACCATCAGTAGTACCAGCGAAATTCAAGGTTACCCTCTATGTGATGCCCAGGAGCAAGGTGACACTAAGTACCACCTTCTGGGGTCCTGCAAGAGGGGGAAGCCAGGTATAACAACAGTGATAACAAACCTCCCTTTTATCATCTTTTTCTTCCCTGCTATTTACACAGTAAAGTGTGGTATTTAATCATTTTGTAGCAATAGGATATTCCAAATGAAATACGGTCCTGCAGTTTTTCTTATCCCTGGAGTAATCTTGCCTTAAAGAGTCCTGGCTAGCATTAGCTAGGAGATACAGTGAAGGAGTAATGTCACTTCAGAAGGGAAAGCTGTAACAAAGAAGCAGGCAGTCTTCTCATGAATGACCTTAGCTAACCGTCAGTCTCGCATGTTGTGTGTCCTTGCTCCCTTGCTCTTATAAACACTGTTGCACAGAGAAATCATCACAGAAAGCCCACGCTCTATAAGGAAAGCAGAAGCCCTTGTGTGGTGTTTTATCTTGCATTTATTTCAGGCCCTTCCCTCTCTCCAGGGAATGAAATTCAAATCTATGGCAAAGTAGCCCTAAAATGAAGCACAGATAAATGTTAGAGATAGAACAGATAGCAACAACCCCTGCCCTCTGTTACATTTTAATTACCATTGTCTGAAACTTCTGGAGCTTCTCTTGAAACACTTTAGATTCTTCTGTAGAACTTTGCAATGAATTCACACTCTCCTGGAGATTCTTCTTAAGGGATGTTTCAATCTGTAAGTCCAAATATTTTATTAGTTTTGGGATAGAAATAAAACTTTGGGAAGACATCAATGAAAATGAAGAATAATACTGCACCTGAGATCGGTACACTGCTCCTAAAATACCTCCTGTGACCTGAAGGATCAGGATCAGAAGCAATCCGATAAAAAACTAGGAAGAAAACAAAAGGGTGAGAAAACTTTAGTACTTTTGACCAAGATGATATCATTTCAACTAAGTGAATGTTAAGCTTTCATGTGCTTGAATAACCATGTAGCTAAAATGAACTGAAATTCTAGCCAGAGCTACTCTAGTTATTCCTTCTTTGGCAATGAGAAAATGGGGTGCTTGAGACAGAGTGTGCTCAGCTGGTAACTGAAACAAGGTGCATGCCAGAGTGACACAATGGGCACTGTGTAGGTGAGAGGTGTTGGGTAGGAGGACGGGAAGGACATTCTAGGAAGACCAGTAAAGAGAGCAACTTGGAATTTATGAAATTAAATGGGATAGGTTGGGGGGGAGGGCTGGCAGAGGGAACTCTGGTGGTGGCTGGATGGGAAAAAAAGCTAGTGACATGTTTGGGGCTCTCTGGACCCTGTCTTCTAGCTGATGAGACCACCCACCATCTTTTCTGTGCTAGAATTCAGAAGGGGCTCAAGCACAAAGTAAGCAATGAAGGCACATGATTATAATCCAGCGTGTGTTTAAACAAAAATGTCCCCATCCTCATTTGATTCTATTTTCAAGGACCTTATCCATCAAAGGTAGTCACAGCCTGTTAAAGGTATCCAAATGTTTTTCTTTCCTACCAACAGCAGCATGCACTGGCTCTCCTTTATGGCACCACAGCACCCCAGAAACCCAAGGATCATGATGATGGAGCCCACGGCTATCAGCAGATCAACCCCTGCAAACACACTGCTGTCTATCTCCAACTCCTGAGAAGAGAGGGGAAAAAATCTTTCAGTCACAAGAAGTAGTTCCTAAAAACATCTGTATCCCCCAAACCAAGGTAATTACTTCATCATTGACAAATGCACTGATTAGCAACCATGGACAAATAAACAAACCTCCAATGCCCCTTTCTTAATCGTTCTGTTGGGGAGCTCAGTAGAGCCTGGTTTTCCACAGTCTTTGTCTCTGCAAGAGATGAAAGTCAATTTCACAGAGTAAATAAAGATCTCTTGCCTTTAAACTGGCTTTCAGTTAGTTTTCAGCAATGGATCTTCACTTTTTACTGGAAGTAGCAAAATTGATTACCTTGAAATCTCTCCTACATTAACCAAATTTTGAAGAAACAAAATCTGTCATTAAAAGGCCAGGAACATACTCTGTGGCTGTTCCTAAGAGAACGCTTCTCAGAGCGATGCTGGATATACTAGAGAAATAGATGCATTTTCCAAAGCACCTTTCTTTTTCTTTTTTTCTTTTAGGCATGATCTCTAATATTACCCTCAAAGATGAGGACTGTATTTTGATGTGTGGGACATTCAACTAAACAATTCATATACCTCAATATTATTAAATATCAAATTATTCAGTTCCCACAGGACTGACTAAGGCCAAAGGCCAAAATAGAGAAAAATGTTCAAAGAATAGTTTCCAGTGTGGCTGGTGCCAAGATTAGCAAAAATGTCTGGAAGTTGTCATATTTATCTTCTGATGGAAATTGCAAAGGTATATAGACAAGTATAATTTGAAGAATGTGTTGTTCTTTCCCCTTCCAAGTTGGACTGAAACTCCTGTTATTTATTCTTAGAAAGCTCTATTCATCTACAGCCAAATCCTTATGGTCTGTTCAATTATTACTCAAGCAAAACATACATTGATTTTGAATGGGAACTTTGCCTGCCTAGAGGCAAAAATGTGACAAAATGCTTTCAATTTTGCTCTCTACTCTTAATGCACATTTTTGGGGGAGTACTAAGTGTCACTTCAGGAAACCAGTTTAGAACACATTCAGGTATGCTTTTCTGATCAGGAAATCTCCCCTAGAATAAGAAAGGATAATAGTGGTTATGGTTTTCCAAGCTCCATTGTACCATCTGAGCCATCATACTAGACATGGTCAACTAGCAAGTATGGAAAATTTAGCTTATAAAATTGTCATTCTTCCTCTTCCACAGCAGAGAACAGCAGAGCTCTCCATCGTGACCTGGTTTATCCTATGGCACAAAGTTATCATGAACTGAGTTCTGTTGCATCCATCCTCTGCCAAACATGAGACATCTGGGACTGACTAAGAGCAACAGTGTCATTAGCCAAATGGCAGGAAATATATAAAGTTATCTTCTTATCTCCACCATCTTTTTATTTCCAGATAGGAAAATACTGCCTTAAGAATTAATGCTCTTAACTGACAGACTGCAGTACAGCAGCAGGGAGTGATCTGAAGATCTGCAACTTAATCTATGCTAAAGACTCAAACTGAAAGCTGGAAAAGATGCTTCAATTCACGCCTCCCCTTTTTTTCACTTCTACGGCCAGAAAACCTTTTTGGATATAGAAGCAAGCAAATTACATTTTCAAATTCATTTACATTTCTATGGCCCAAATTCAGAAGAAGAAATATACTGCTTATACCTTAGAGTCAGGTTGTTTTTCTCATTAATATAATAAAGCACCACCATACAAAGGTTGCACAGTGCCCTTCAGAGAATCAGCAACAAGCTGTGAAATCAGCTTCTCTCAAGGGGGGCAGAAAACATGCTGTGAGTCAGAGGCCAGTGCCACTGGGACCACGTTTGGCAAAAGATTGTCAGGGCCCACAGGACCAAGGGCCTTTGCATCAACAGGACCAGCTGCTGCTGCATGTCTGCAAGATCAAGGGCTCCCCAAAATTGTATTTTCCCTAGCTTTGCAATAAAGGAAAGTCACGAAGCCTGAAATAATCCAACAACCCAGATAAAATCCATGAGGGGAAATCAGGGACTTGCTTCTCCCCTCCAGGAGGGCTCTTAGGACATTTTATTCGTAAATAAAGATTTTTGAATCTCTAAAACTTTTTTTGTATAAATATGAGGGGAAAGGGGTAAAATGCTTTTTAGGAGCCACTGAAAAGAAAGGGAAAATCCTTGCTCCCTTTCAAAGTTGTGGTTACTGGGAAAATAAGAATTGTGTTATTGAAGATAGGGAGAAAGGTAAAAACATTCCCTCCAAACAAATTGAAGTAACCCTAAGAATATATATGACTGTACTATTCTAATAGGGAAAGCCTCTGAAAGTCTAGGAGCCACAGGGCTCCTCATTATTCTCTCTAACACTGAAATCAATATCAAAATCATCATTAGTTTTCTTTAGAGGAGACACGTCATCCAACAGAAATCTGTATGCATCTGCAAGAACCTACATTAATAGCACTAAAAGACACTTCTTGTAGTCACATGTCTCTGCCTACATCAATTACTTTACTCAACTGCCTGCACCATCTTATTTAATCTTAAACATCATAAAATGCATTAATCTTTACCCACACAAACCACCTCAACAAAAACGTTAAAAGTCTATGGAAATGAAGTTGTGAATTGAAAGCGTATGTAGTGGTTTCCACATTTGACATGGCTCTGGTATGGCTGTATGCATTTACCTGCTGAGCATCTTTGCTAACACGTATCCATATAGACACTCCCAAAATAACGGAACCACACAGCTGCAAGAAAAAATAAAGAATGTTTAGAAAGAGCAGTGATTTTAGATTAATATTCAGCATCCAAATTGCACCAGATGCTGGCCAAAATTCTGAAATCATTTGCTTGGCAAAGTGAAAGAAACATGATTTGCTGGAGAACAGAACATTGATTTGTATCCAGGAAACTTCATAAGGGTAGTTAAATCTTCAGTTATGCACCAAATCCCTGATGTTTCTACCTCAGAGGACTCCACGTTTCCTTGATGATTTATACATGTGGTTGGGAAGCACACAGAAATTCTGTCAGATGAGAGAGGAATACAAATTGCTATTGTATGTATATAACATGGCTGTAAAGAACATTGTTTATTGTATAATGGAAACACGAGATGGAACATGAGATAAATGGAACATGAGATTTGATAAGAGACGTTTGTATAAATGTTGTTTTTAGAAATATTCAGGACACATGTCTAGAGACTGCTCACTATGGTAAAACTATCAGGAACATGTCCAGATAAAGTCTGCAGTTTCTATTGCAACAATATCTGGCCATCTCCAGTCCTTAGAATATACCTTCTATAAAATGCCCATAGTTATTATTTTCATTACACTTTTACAGAAAACTATGATCAGTCATGTACATGCGAAAGTTAGACTGGGATGACTTGCTATAAGATGTTGAAATCAGGCATATGAATCCCAGGTCCAAATGCATTCCTTAATCACTAGTTGTTCTCTTGTGCTCCTGTTTCACTGATTGTTGAGGTACCATTCCACTATGCGCCAGTCACTCTATTTCTAACCTTGTCTGTGAGGATTCTTGTACAGAACTTCTCTTTATTAAGTGTTAGAGAAAGGTAGTTAAGAGTCTGATCAGATGAAAGGGTTGTGCCTGCTGAGATGACTGGTAGGAAAGAGAAATCACTGAGAACCAGGGAGTAGTCATGCTTAGAATTATCTTCCTGTAAGTCATTAACACTCAAGTCATAAACAGTCCTGAAATGTTGTTATTAGCTTCCCATGAAGACTGAGACTATTCCTAATCTTTTAAAATTAGAAGAGCTATTTTTATATGTTTTAGATATTTTTTCCTAAAAAATACTTTCCCCACAAAAGATTTCATATAATATTTAGCATCAAAGACCATAATGACTTAAGCAGATTATTTAGTATGGAACAGAGCCAGCACACAGACATGAGTACCACACATTTTCCTGTTCTAAGTAAAGCTGCTACAAGTACATTTTATACATGAAAAGGAAAGTTGTACAATCGATGACAACTATATCATGTAATCGAATTTAACTAGAACTCCCAAGTGAAACCTTCTGATCCCACTGAATCTGCCTGGAAACTGATGGTATCGTATGACTGTATATTTGGGTCTTGTTCAGCAGCACTATGTGAGCCATGTGGCTATGCACCAGATAACATGGGCTCACTAATGTGAAAATTTCCACTCAGGCAGCTCTTGCTACAAATCCAAACAGAATTTGGCCTGCTGCCTTATTTGTTACAGAGGACCTCCCACAAAAATACAGCACAGTAGTAGAAGTAAATATAGCTGAATATATAGGAACTTAGGAATCAGATGGGAATGATACAATATTTACTTCATTCAAAAAAGAAACACCATTAATAAATGAAAATTTTTAGTGAGGTGCATATATTTTAATTATAAAAATAAAGTTGGTTTAGGTTAATAAAAAAATGATCCATTTCAATAAAATCTTAATGTTTTGTTTCTGTTTATTTTCAGACTATACAAAGTGTACCAGATCACACAAAGAAAAGTTTTGAAATAACAAATCAAAATGGCCTGTTCCCAAAGAGTCCACATTGAACATTTCAAGTTTGCTGGAATACTCCATCCTAAATATTAAGTTCTTTTAAAATAAAGTTTCAAATAAAGAAATTTTAATTTCAGGAAATTTCATTTTTAATAAACAAGTTTTTTCCAATGGAATAAAAAGATCTTCATGAAACAGTCCTCACCCATTTTCCCAAAACTAGATGGCGGTTGTAGTTTTGCCTCAACCCTTGACCAAGAATCAGTGACCTTGTCACACTCTCATAAACTAATCAGGAACAGGACTGTTGTCTCTCAAATTCAATCAGTCCTTCTCATCTTGAGCCCTTCAATCCTAGTGTAATGAAGAAATACAGCCTAGGTAAATTAGTGTCACCTCAGATGAGCCTGCTGTGACTCTGGACCAGTGGTATATTAAGACTCCGCACTTCTCAGACACAGGAATACCAAATCTATGGGGAATTCCCTCCACTGGCAAACACATTTTAAGCAACCAATTTAAGGGTATCAGGAGGAGCTTCCTACAAGGTTGCTCCCATTCATGAAAACATTTGACTGCTGTACTTCCTTAAGATATTTGAAATTAACAGTTAGGAAGGTCCTACAGAGAATATGGTCTATGGCTTATCATACCTGCTAAGCTTGTGCTGCTTAAGATGTAAGGTAAGGGGAAGGGGCCAGTTTGGTTGTAGATGGGACTGCCATCCTGCTGTCAAAAACTGATCAAAGATTGCTCTGCTACTGAGGGGTTGCCTCAAATTAGGATCAGAAATATTTAGTGAAAAAAATACCAATTCTATAATTTTGCATGCTGTGAAGTAGCAGCAGATGAGACTGGATATCCTGCAAAGTTGGAAGAGGGGAAAGAGGAAAAATCCAACCTATATGTCAGGTTTAATGCACAAAACTGATTTCATTTTAACTTAAGGACCATTAAAAGTTCTATATAGGCACCAAGCTCCAAAGTACAGGTCTTCAAAAAGCCATGCTCAGCTTTCTTCCACCAAAGTGGGAGGTTGGAAAACCCTATGCACATGCTCTTGGGACTGTAGATTCCCACAGGGCACACTTCATGTAGTGAAGCCAGAGCCATTTTACAGAGCTATCTTGGACTGTTCTAGGGGTTACACACTTAGTGCTGTGCTCTAAGAGGTGTCAAGACAAAGCCATCAGAAGGCTGGAAAACCCATTCTCAAGTGCCCTCAGAAGGGACACTCCCAGAGATACTGCAATGGGCTTAAAATGAAAGGACTCCAAGTAAATATGCAGCCATAGCTCTTGTCTAGTTAAGGTTAAAGTCACCTTCAGTTCCCACTATCAGTTTAATTTTGCCACTTGCCAACTACCTTGTGTACCAGGGAGAGTAGGTGTAAGAACAGTGGTGGTAAAAACATCATTGTTCCCTGGGCTTTACTATGTCAATTTAATGATTACCAGGAATTAGAGGAAGGAATGTGAATCAAAGAATTCAGCTTCATTGTACTCTGTCAGCAAATGTTCCTGTTTGCACCATGCCTGTTCTTCCCTATCTTGGTACTGTTAAACATCTTTTAAAATAAGTAACTATAGCTACCTTCCTGGCCTCTTCTGTCCCATCTATGCAGTCATATACACAGCAAATACGCTCAGCATATTCTTCCCCAGAATAAAGTACTGATTTTCCTACATTTGGCACAAAGATAGGTTTGGGAAGTTTGTTCTACACCTTCTTGTTTCCTGAGCTTTCCAGACTGCCCCAGGATCACAGCCTCTGTTTTTACCTAGGAAACCCATGCTGCCATTGGAGGCTCAGGCAGGGGCATTATTCACATGTTCATTCCAGGAGCAGTTTGGAGCTTTTCTGATGCTACTCTGAGAAATTTGCCTATGTTTTTGCTTACAGTAAATACAGATGAATGTAGACAGGATAAACTTCTTGAGGTGCAGGAATTCCAAGTCAGAAACTATGGACTCTTTTAAATACCGTCATAGAAAAACTTCAACAGAAATGTCAGCTATTTTCAATTTGCCTTGATGGAGATGGAGGAAGTAGGTGGGAGGAGGCAGTTGAAACCATCACTGTCCTGTGAGGAATTCCTTTGTGATGTCCACAAGAAATCAAAGAATTTTGCTAATTCTTCTCATTTTGGCCAGCCACAAGTTTTCCAAGGCTACTGTTTGCAGTCCCTTTTGAATGGTATCACATTTTCACTTGAAAAAAAAATCTCTCTTGAGGCAAAGCCCATAACATGGCTGTAGTTCTGCTTCTGATTTCAGTGAACTTCTGGTGAACCTGACAAATCTCTGTCAGGAAAGCTGACAATGAGGTTGAACCATGAAATAAATGTTCTTCAACTCAGACCTTTCCAGATCTTCCAAGACCTGAAATTCTTGCAAACCAGCTGAGATGTGGTCATTCAAATGACACCTGGAAACCTGCCTGCTGCCCTGTGTTGTATCTGCCTTGATACAGCTATTGGCAGTACTGCCAGCCCATACCATTTTACAAATGTTTACTGTCCACCATCAGAAACTAATTATGACACTGAACATAAAGCAAAGAACCACGAGAAGGATATGAGAAACATCTATCAATTAGGAGGCTAAAAATACAAGTGAATTTTCTGTATCTTCTGCTGCAACTACATTCTTAGGAGTATGCCATTTGGATGCAAGCAGGAGACCATAAAAGCCAGAAAACGCCACATTTTAAGTGGAGAGCCTGTTATCTTCTGACTGAAATAAGTGATGTCTCTTGACATGAGGGGCAGGTTATGGGCAAGGGACAGACTTACGGCTGGTCTACCTTTGAATGTGGAGGGAAAGCTATTTTGAAGGAAAAGACAAAGGGAAGGGCAAAAGTTAAACATATTCTCCTCTCCCTAATTTAGAATCATACTCTGTTTCCACTTATGCTCTATTTTCTTTACAATTCCTTCAACTATGGCTTTCAGATAATGTTGAACACATTTCATGCATCACTAATAACAATTTAAACACCAACTTACCCAAAATAAGAAGTTGAAGAAGAACATTGAGTACTTCATGCAGCTGCTTACACCCGCCATTTTCAACAAGCTGAGACAAAAATGAGCACTGCAGAAGCAGCTTTCCTGAGAACTTGACCTTGATATAAAAGTTGTTGCTGTGTCTTCAGAAAAACTGTCAAACCACGTCAAATACGCTGTGCTCTGCCACTGAAAGCAAAAACTGTGACCAGGGCACTGACAATTATTTAAATAGTTCGTATTCCATAGGTAAACATTAACCAGAGAGTTGGGGAAGCACTGCTAGGTGTTATCACTCAGTCTCCAGACTCTTAGAATGTCCTTGTGATTTGTACTTTCCTACAGTCCTGTTAGTCTTGTCCTACACCTCAAAAGTAAATAGATAATGCAGCAAAGTCATAGTTTCAAGAGAAAGGGAAGTGAGCATAAAAACATTTTACAGACCTGCTTTTGAGAGGTGGAAATGATTGTTTTTCTTAATGCTTTTAAGTTACAGGGTTTACTCGACCATTGCCAACATTCATTCAGTCATGTTCACTCTCCCACTCCAAAGGCTCAACTGGAATAAAGGGATGAGTCTGAGCTACCCCACCAGAGGAAGGGTAAGGAATCTGCTGTCATTTTCTCAGTCTTGGTGTCTACTTCAGATCCTTTTCCTCTTCCTCACTAAATCAGGACCTGAGGAACCTGAGCACTGTGGTGCACAAAGCACCCCACTGTGCAGGTTTCCAAAAGTGTTGTGAACCCCAGCAGAGCAATCACAGTTCTGGAAGCAAGATGCAGGATACCGCTCAGCAACAGGAGCTAGATTCATCCCAGAAGACAAGGCAATAAACCTGTTTCATTGGTTTTGGTTTACGTCTTGTTTGTTTTCTTTTGTGCTCTTCAAGCTAGGAATCCTGAGGGGAAAATAAAGGTATTGCTCTGGTTTTTTCTATCAATCAGCTCACTTTCTGGAGAAGTCCCATATAGCAGTCCTTAGAAGGATGAGGGTCAGACAAAGGTTCTCCCCTGAGTTTGTCATAAAAAAGAAGCTTTATTTTGCAGGTGAGCACAAAGGATTTAAATGTGAGAGATTAAGAACATGCTGGACTGAAGTGATTTATGAAGGCCCCTTGGCCCAAGCCCATTTTTCAGTCTTACCGTCAGTTCCCATTCTTCAATTCTGCTGTCTGTATTTGGGGGACAAAAAAAAAAGGAAGTGTCAGCATGTAGAGCACCTGTAGATGGTGACAAAAAGAGCCTGGGTTTTGCAGGATTCACAAAAAAACAATCTGCTCTACACTGAAAACAATTTCCTCTAGCTGTTTTCTAAAACAGCTTTTAATGAAGGTGTGATGTTCTAATCTCTCCATGCACTTTCATTAACTATATTTAAGCAGACACAACCGATCCCGTTTTTATGAGTGGCTTCATACCTGCCTTTGACTTTCTGGGCTCCTTTCTGGAGTAATACTCTTTTTTTCTAACTCTAGGCGATTGGCTGACTGAGTAGCTTATTTCACAATACCCACCCTGAATCTGAGAATGTTCCTAAAAATAATTGTGCTCATGAAATACAGATTTTGTAAGGACTGGGAGAAACAACTGTGCGGTATGGTTTAGATCTAAAGCACTCAACAAATAAGTAAGTTGAGAAATGTGGGCGTCTTTATGGAGGGATGCCATAGCCACAGATGAATCATGACAAAAGTTTAAAGGGCTATATAAAATTGTATGAAAAGGGCCATGAAGGGTAAGAAAGGAACCATAGATGATGCAGGATTTGAAGAGGTAAGTATAAGTGTCTGTATCAGTAAAGTAACTTTATTATAAGTGGAGTTGGGAAACAGCATTTTATACCAAAAACTACACAGCTGTAAATCTTCACACACATTAGATGCTCATTAAAGAAGGCTTGAGCCTTCTTTTTCCCTTTTGTCTGTGAGATGCTTAGCCCAGGCATTCAGTCACAAATGTCTGAGGGAAACTGTGCTAGGGCAGTAATAATATAGAAAGCCAGAATGAGCATTCACACACACACTAGCCGGTGTGCAAGGACCTTTCATGTGCAAGAGTCCCGCTGCCTCTTTGCCTCTCCACTCTCCCTCACAGCGCTCTTGGATTTTGGGCAGGTAGGGATCTGCACCAGCAATGTCCTGGAATGACTCCCAGAAGGATATACAGTCATGGCTGTCGGAGGACCCCAGGCCTGTCTGGGGACAGAGAGCTCTGCAGCATCTCTGGACCTTTCCACAGCCTGTATCCTCAGGAGGTGTAAGCCCAGCACAGATGAGTTTCTCATTCATCCTAGGATGTTTAAACAGCTGAAGATAGATATGATTTAGATCTGAAACCCATTTTCATTACAATTTTATACTTATGGCTGTGGATGTTGAAGAAATTTGACGGAACTTCTGAGGTTCCTTTTTTAAATGTGCCTATTGAACATTAACCATAAGTAGGTTCTGGTAAGATCCCAATTCCTCCTACACCCCTCAAAATCTGCATTTTATATGTTTACTGCACTCTTTAGAAAGAGCAAAAATAGTCTTTCTTAGGACCTGATATATGCTCCTTTTCTAAGATGGTAAATGGAAAATAACGTAAAAGTTAAATACATTTCCTAGTGGGTTTCCAACGTGCTAAATATAGCTGCTGAATAGAAACTCAGGATCTGAATGTACTATAATTCCTACATGTTTCATATCTATATTTAATGGTATCCAAACTCAAAATATGTCATCCAACATTAGAAGCAAACAAATAGTTTCCATTAAATGACAGATTTTCAAGTTAAATCTTCTGTACGAGTTGATTTCTTATTTCTTGGCTATAAAGTGCTTTTTTATATGTCTTGGAGAAGGGGAAAGCCATGTTTATGGCACAGATGATGTTTGCAGTTGTACCTACAAGTCCGGAGGTCATGCAGATAATTGAAGAGGCCTATCAATGACAGTAATGGCATGAGAAATTTTGGTGCTATTTGGCTGCATGTGAAATTTCTCCCATTACCCCTCCCATTACCGTAACTGTTTCGATGGTCTGCTGTGCTCTCCCAGTAACAAAGCCTATGCCACAAACAGCTGAAAAGCTTATTTTCCAGTAAAGGAGTTGTAAAACCCCATTCACTTACTGCTCCTCCTTACAGATTATAAGAGAAGGATTATCAGTGCACATCCTGGGTGCAGCACAAGGTGGGAGCCTCTGACACAGCACACACAACTCTCCACCACCACAGGGGACATGCTGACTTTGCCCGCTGTGTCACACAAGAAACCGGAAAGGGAGAGGCATATCTTGACAGAAAAATAATGCCAGTACACTTGCAATGAACCTGGAATAAAGGATCCCCCCTTTGACACTTCCCAAGCAGCTACAGTTGGTTTTATAATGCTTTTATCTTCTTTCTCCTCCAAGCCTTTCCTCACTTTGTGCCTCCTTCTGCTTTTTACAACCTCCATTTCCCTTTGTGAGGTGCCTGTCCATGGTCAGGCTGTGACCAAAGCCCCATATGGAATTATTCACCATATAGCCAGTCATACATAGAGGTCTAAACAGGCTTGCAAAACTGGTTTGTCCTGGCTAGCAGTCGAGCAGTTTGAACAGTGGCATGTGGATAGTGAATAATAGAATTTTGTTTGCCATTGGAATTTCTCCTCAGTGTGCTGTTAAACACAAAATAGAGGAGATGGATAAGAACTGTATTAAGCATGGAGCTTGCAACCTCAAAGGGATCAGCAGACCTCTGGATCTGCTGAAACAGTAGGGACAGCCTATATAAGCTGTGCAGAGACAGATCACAGGCTGTCACAGCATTCGACCTTCAGCCAAATGCATACTTCACCTCTTGAAACTTCACCTGTTGCTCTAAGGTCTCTAATCAATACAAATTTCTGCATTTCCTGATTAAACTCCTGTCTAAACAATAGTGTAAAGTAGTGTAAAGTTTCACAATAACTTTCTCACCCCTGACGCCAGGTGAAACAAATGCTGCGTGCCATGTCCTTTCTTTTCCTCCCTCCTACCACATCGTGAACTGCTACAGGGGTAAACAAATTTGTGTCTTAGAGCAGCATCTGGAGCCTCTCAGTTTCCTGTGGGCTATATGAGTGAACTGGGCACCAGTTAGTGTCATGTCATAATGTCATAATTGCCTGTTAGGGCTTTTACTTTTACTTTGAAATAATAGGTGTTTGTAGCCATTAACAGTGTAAACCCTTTCGTGATAATGATGTTCCTCTGCACTCCAGACAATAAAAATGAAAGCTCTTTCTATAAAAGACGCAGCCTAACACGAGTTGCTGAGCAACCCAGCTTAGAAGAGGCAGTGGCCTGACCACCAAAACAAACCTTAACATCTATACACTAACACGCAGGCAAATCCTGTCCCATGCCAATCCCAGCTGCATAGCACCCAGTGCTCTCCACTCTTTATGACGCCTGGAGAAAGGCAGCACAGAGGTAAGATACCCTTCATACTAGAACAGGCACTTAGAGGGGGGGTCCTGTGGCCCAGGTGACTGTGTTGGCCACTGGGCTCTTGGTCAGAGGTGCGTTGTGCCTTCCCTTTGACCACACTTCTCATATTAGCACTGGAAATCTTGTCCCCAGGGAGGGAGTTTGAATGTGGGCATGTCTTCACAAAAGGTTCCTATTCTGACAAAAGAGTTTCATCAGAAAATCCCCAGCCAGCTCTGTTCTGAGCTCCTATCCAGGCACTCCATGGCCTCACGCCAGTATCAGTCATATGTTCCTGCTTTAGCAAGGTCTAGTGTCTCAAACACTCTCACTTCCCCTAAAGCAACAACTCTTCCACTAGAAAAGAAACCTCTTGCAGCAGGTCTGCCCGTGATCCGCTCTCCCTCCCAAAGGATGCAGCCTCCTCTTCCCATACACCACCAGTTTTCTTCTAAGCCTTTCATACAAAAAACTCTCTGAAATACAGATCTTTAAGCTTTCATTGATATTTGACTCATATTGAAATAAAAGAAGTCCTTAAGTACGAATAAACTCATGTACCTAATCCACATATCTTTCTTTTCACCTCCCCGGCCTCCCCAGGCCTTTTCATTTACTGT